GTCTCAGGTTACGTATGTAACCATGGTTCCTCGAGGGAACGAGATGCTGCGTCTCGGTGCCATACTTCCAGCATCCCTGCCGGCGCTTGCTTCATTCCTAGAAGCTGACGCTGGCTCCGCCGCACGTGCTTTTATAGCTTCCTGGTCATGACGTCATCCGCCGTGACGTCCCGTTCAGCTATTGGACTGATTTCACATGTGATTCAGAGCGTGGGTCGCAGAATGGGTTCCCCTAGCGTTTTCGACGCAGCGTCTCGTTCCCTCGAGGAACTAGGGTTACATACGTAACCTGAGACATTTTGTTATATCTTTGCAGTCAAAAGTGACAAAGCCTTGAAATGTAACCTTTTTTTTTTTTCACGAAAACCAATGTAAAATATTTCTGTTCAATAATATATATTTCTTCTTATTATTATTATTATTATTTAGAATTTTTAGAGGATTTTATGATTCTATGCAACATTTATACAATTTTTAGGAGCTATTTTTTCCACAGTCATTTTTGAATGTGAAGGTACCAAGTGTTACTTTTTTATTTTTCAACTCTTTAACATATTCGAATCATGTCCATGATTTTCTTTTTGTTCACATAACTAATTTTACAAAAGTCACCAAGTGTCTTCCCATTCCAATGAAGCAAAAAATTAAAAACATATTTTTTTCGGTCAGTTCCGACCGAAGAGGACCAGAGGGTTAAACTGACAATGTTTTGTGATGTATATAAGAATTTATTTATTCTGTAAGAAAGTGTTTGCAATTGACTGACCCTGTGTCCGTCCATCCCATTCTCTCCTGGAGCACCTGGAGGACCTCGGAGACCAGTGTTTCCCTGATCACATCAATACATAATACAACATAACTGCATAAATTTCAAACAAGTATCCTGCAAACATACAGAACCTTTTCTATAATGTTAAGTAAATTAATATAATTTAAAAAGACATGATTGTTTTGTTGAACATTAACTTTTTAAAACATTAATAAATAAGCAAAAAGTAAATTAAATGAAAGTGTACCGGTTTTCCTCGATAACCTTTATGTCCTTTACTTCCACTGGATCCTTCGGTACCATCCTCACCCTATTATTATAATCACTGATATTAATAATGTTACATAATGTTATATTAATTTGAAATTATTATTATTAACATTTCTACAATTACATAAAATGCCTAGTGATGAGCTGCAACAGATGTTTAACTAGCTTTAACAGACCTGCAAACCAGGGAGGCCAAAGTATCCAATGTTTCCCTGAAAGCAATTTTATTCTGTTAGTTGAATATCCATAAACATACACAAAAGAGAGAGAAAAAAAGTAATTTGTGTGTATTTTCCAGAAAATGATATTTTGCACTTTGCTCATGTGCATAGCTTTGCTCTTGATGTTAATTGCATTATATTTATAAATCGCTTTGTAAAATAAGTTATAGCATGTTTCAGATATAGCACAGATACCTTGTGTCCTTTGAGCCCTGCAGGTCCATACCCGTCTCTTCCATCTTGTCCCTTTTTACATAAAGTCATACATTAGACTGGAAAGTCGCACAAAACTATTTCATATAGTTTAGATGGGCATTTTATCATTTTCAAGTCAGCAATGCGTCAAATGCAACAACTGACCAGAGGCCCTTTGAATCCCTTTGGTCCCAGTGTTCCCTTGGGCCCCGGGTCACCTGGTGGACCCTAAACACAAGCAGGGACAGTGTGAAAAGAGGAGCACAGCATTTCTTTACAGCATTATATGGCTGCAGCACTTCTACACAACATACTGGAGACCAACCAGGTATTAAAGGAATAGTTCACCCAAAAATTAAAATTTGCTGAAAATTTACTGACTCTCAGGCCATCCAAGATGTAGATGAGTTAGTTTCTTCATCAGAACAGATATGAAGAAATGTATCATTACATGACTTGTTCACCAATGGATCCTCTGCAGGGAATGGGTGCCGTCAGAATGAAAGTCCAAATAGCTGATAAAAACATCACAATAATGCACAAGTAATCCACACCACTCCAGTCCATCAATTAACATCTTGTGAAGTGAAAAGCTGCGTGTTTGTCAGAAACAAATTAAGATTCAAACTATTCCTTCCATTGCTAAAATATGAGTCCTCTATCCATAATATATTGCTTTAAATTATGGTCTTCTCTAAATCAGGAGCAGATCAAGAACCGTTTACAAGTGGAAACAGTCCAAAACACATCTAAACAAATATGACTTGTGGATTATTGTGATGTTTTTATCAGCTGTTTGGACTCTCATTCTGACGGCTCCCATTCACTTCAGAGGATCCATTGGTGAGCAAGTGATGTAATGCTAAATTTCTTCAAATCTGTTACGATGAAGAAACAACCTCATGCATTTTTCACAGAATCAGGAAAAGAGAAAGAAGGAAGTAAGAAAAAAAACTTCAATACAACAGTCTTCCATACCCTTGGCCCTCTGGATCCTCGACCTCCCTTTGAACCTTCAGGTCCAGGTGGGCCAAAGGGACCCTATGAAAACACACATGATTCTCTCAACATTCATGTGTTTTATATCATGTGCTTTATACTCTAAGGGTAAAACATGAACATGCAACTATATGAGGCGCCACGTAGGATAAACTTGATCCATGTATATACACCTATAAACACTCGCACATAAATATAAATTCAATGCGCGCATTTACATCCATAAAACACTCGCGCATACATACAAAATAAAATTCACAAACGTATTCAATTCTGAAAGACGCATGCTTTAGATGTGTTGTATACTGTACATATATGCAAGTGATTTCATATGTGGATGTGCGTGAACTTTTCAGTGCAAACGGAAGGCATCTCAGTGTAAATTTTATTTTGTATGTATGCGCCGTGTGTTTTATGGATGTGAATGCGCGCATCGAGTTTATATTGATGTGCGAGTGTTTATAGGTGTATATATATACACATGGATCAAGTTTATATGTATATGCGAGTATATAGGTGTGTCTGCATGCAGCGAGTTTATATGTATGTGCGTGTGTTGTTGTAGGTGTATATGCATGGATCGAGTTTATATGTATAAGCGAGTGTCTATAGGTGTATGTGCGTCAAGTATATATGTATACGCAAGTTATAAACAAGTGTATATGCATTCATTACTAACATAAGATGCATTGGCATGGATTTCATATTAGTGTGCACGTGTATTTCATATATATTTTTGAACATCCAATAGTATACATGTATATGTGAGTAATTTATAGGTGTATATGCACGTGTTTTATGTATGAATTGATAAGCGAAGTTTGATTTAAATCCTACGTGGCGCCTCTTACAACTAGTTTAAACAACTGAATACACACCTGAATTCCAGGTGCACCCGGAGGACCATTGTCTCCTTGGAACCCTTTTGAGCCTGGTGGTCCCTGAACAAAAAAGATCAGGGAGGTATAACAGGTCATAGAATCAAACACTAACATCGGACATCTCTTATCTGTGTGTTTCTTTTTAAATAAAGGTGAAATGTCCTAGTTCTCACCACTTGTCCAGGATAACCAGGAAGCCCTCGCTGTCCAGCTTCTCCTTTTTCATTTGAAGATTCACCCTATACACATACACACATTTACCATTACCACATTACAACAGCAGAACAGAATAGATTACATAATATAATAAATATCACATGCAACAACAATAATAATGGAATTTCTATTTGAATAGCATATTAGAATTGAAAGGAGAAAAACAGCATAAATTAGAAAAGAACAGAATAGATTATTTAATATAATACACAACAAAATCATAATAATAATAATAATTATTATTATTATTATTAATTACACAAGAATATTAGAAACAATAGAATATGCTAGAATTAAGAGTAGATCAGAACAGACAATATTAGAAAAAATGAAATAGATTCAATTAAAATACAACCAAGTAGAATAGAACAGAACTGAATAGAACAGAATCTTTGTTTGTTTTTTCATGCTACATTACCGGCAATCCTGGTCGGCCTTTTCTTCCTGGAGCACCCTACCAAAATACACTGAGAAGTTATCTAGGATAAAACATCTTTATACCTATTTAATTAATTTTATTATAAGTTGTTTTTCTAATATATATTTTAATCTATTTTAAAATGTTATTTTTCCTGTGATGCAAGGCTGAATTTTCAGCACCATTACTCCAGTCTTCAGTGTCACATGATCCTTCAGAAAACATTCTAATATGCTGATTTGGCAAGAAAACGTTTTCATTATTATCACAGCTGAAAATGGTTACGTTGCTTAATGAAAGTGTGCAAACTAAGATACGGTGTCTTTTTTCAGGATTCTTGGATAAACAGTAGGTTTGAAAAGCAGCATTTATTAAAAACAGAAATCTTCTACAACATTATAAATGTATTTACTATCAGTTTTGATCAATTTAATGTGTCCTTTTTGAATAAAAGTATCAGTTTCTTTAAAAAAAAGAAAAAAAATTGAACCCAGTCTTTTGAATGGTAGTATATATCCACCTGTAACACCTGTAAAATCTAAAACGTAATATGATATTGTGTACAAATGTGTTAGCAAGATTATTAAGCTATCTCAGCATAGAGTGACACTGAATAGTACAGAAACTATACACTTTCAGAAAAAAGTACAAAACTAGGATTTTACTCTTTAAAAGGGTTATATGTACATTTTAGGGGTAAATAAGGTACAAAGATGTACCTTTTAGCTTTTGTACCTTACAATACCGCGTCTGTGACAGCTTTGTACCTTTTTTCTGAGAATGTAGTTACAGTTAGAAGCCACTACAGTACTAGTACAGGTAATACTCACAGGATCACCGTTATCTCCAGGTCTGCCTGGGGGTCCAACAGTGCCCTGGTCACCCTGACAACAGAACACAGTCATAACACACTTTTACTGATACTATTCACACATTGGATAATCTTGAAACACGTTGAAAAATAAAAACATTCTAAATCTGATATGTTTCTCATATTTGGTCACCTGATTGTATTTCATTAAACCTCTTAATTAGGTATTTTTTAATCAAAAAAGTTAAAGTGAGAACAATTGGTGACATCAGCCAAGGAGGAAAGTCATTTCAGAGGGGAAGCAGCAACAAGCGTGTCATGTCAAATTGCTCAAATGTGTTAGTGGAGTTAAAAATAACAACGTTAAACATACAGTATATAATTAATCACAACTGTGAACGTGCCTACTTTGACAGCCAAATAAAACAAATGGAGACGTCCGTCGTGCTTGCCAGTCTCGTCGACAAATAAAGGCTATACATTTATTTTTTGTGATTTAACAGTTATGTCTGCTTCAAGTTATGTAGGCTACTATCTAAGGAATTGCACAAAATTCGCTAAAAGATCTCAGCTGGAACTTTATTATACCTGTTAGCATATATATACACACACACACACAGACAAACACAGTTATCAAAATAAATAAATTTAAAATGATTTGAAAGACACTCAAAACAAAACAATTCTATAGGTTGTGTTAAAAAAATGTGATGTGATGTGATGGCTGTTTACTCTGGTTTGTTCATTTACGTACACCATTTCATCAGATTTGTAAGGTAAATCATTTATAAACCTACACAAACACAGGAGAATACATCAATATCTTTCTGAACATGCTAACTGTTCATCTTGACTTCAAAATAAAAGCTCAAACTCTCACTCTTGAGTTTACACGTTTTTGATGTCCACATATTCAAGAAATTACAGCGGCTATAGCATTTCTGTCTTAAAGAAATGGCCCAATATTACAGATTAAGTGGACATTTGAATTAGATGTTTTTTAGTCAATATTAAACAAGGATTAGATAGCGCAGCACTGGTAGTGTGCATACATAATAACACAGGACGAATGTAATTATACAACATCTGATTTACAGCACATCGTTAGAAACATTCTGTCACTCAAATTGAGTTTGAGAACATTTTCCAGAAGGAGTATAAAAAAAAGACCCTCACCGGGAGCCCAGTATCTCCCCTCTCGCCTTTTGTACCTGGAAATGTGTTGTCTATTCCTGGTGCACCCTATTAACACAAACAGAGAATCATATACAGACAAATCAAGTCAGGCAGTTTAGATGGCCAAAAACAGCTACTATAAACACAGAGAAATACTTACAGGATCTCCTCTCACTCCGCTGTGTCCCTTAGGTCCAGGACTGCCTCTGAAACCCTTCATATTCTGAATAACAGAAATAATACTGTGAGGAAGCCACTGGGTTGTTTTTACATTTTTCCTGTTTATATTAACAGTGATACATAAATAGACAGCTGTGATCAAACAAAACAGGCATTTGTAATGTGTGTGTGATAACGTAGTTACAGCACTGCCTGGGTCTCCTTTAGGTCCTGGAAGCCCATTTAGGCCAGCATCACCCTGCACACAACAGAAACAGTAAACAGAGTACAGTGAATCAATCAAATGACTCAATAACTCATTTAGTGACGATGCGGTGCTCGACTGAGCAGTTTCATAGGTCAAAAAAGAGAAATATAACCAAGGAAAACATGATTTTGTGTGCAAGTCGGATAATTTTGCATTAATATTTTAGTTTTGCGCAATATAATTTTAAATGTGTTTAAAGTTTTGATACATGCTTATTTTTTTTTTTTAAATGCATTATTACTTTTTTGATTTACGCTTATTATTTTTCGATCCGTGACCATTTTTTGCTATTCTGAAAACTTTGCTTTCATTTTTGAACTTTGTGCAATATATTTTTACTTGCGTTTTTAAAGTTTGGTTTCACGCTTATTACGTTTTATTTGTCACTGCAATAATTTGGCAGAAAATTGATTCCATACATAACAGGCAAATAAATAAATCAATCAAAAGAGGGAATTTTATACTTTACGGAAGGTATAACTTTATATTTAATAAAATGTAGGATTTTAATTCTGTTATTTTCAAAATCAGACATCAATAGTTGCATTTTCATGCATTTTGAATTGTGTGTATGTGTATTAGGAACTTTCTTGCATGCAAATAAGTGTCTATTACCAATGGTGACTTTGCTTATGTGTTTGTTTTCATGCACAAAAACAGAAAACGAGACTCAAACTGATTTGCACAGAACGAAAGCCTGATTTCCATTTAGATATCAGTCCTATTTTTCTGTACATTTTATATTTCTCTGTTTTTATATATATTTATTTTATATTTTAATATAGTACATTCATTTTCATTTGTGATACTGTGAATGTAAGTGTAGAAATAAATAAAGATGTGACCTGTTCTCCATCCACTCCATCCAGCCCATCCAGAGAATCATATACAGACAAATCAAGTCAGGCAGTTTAGATGGCCAAAAACAGCTACTATAAACACAGAGAAATACTTACAGGATCTCCTCTCACTCCGCTGTGTCCCTTAGGTCCAGGACTGCCTCTGAAACCCTTCATATTCTGAATAACAGAAATAATACTGTGAGGAAGCCACTGGGTTGTTTTTACATTTTTCCTGTTTATATTAACAGTGATACATAAATAGACAGCTGTGATCAAACAAAACAGGCATTTGTAATGTGTGTGTGATAACGTAGTTACAGCACTGCCTGGGTCTCCTTTAGGTCCTGGAAGCCCATTTAGGCCAGCATCACCCTGCACACAACAGAAACAGTAAACAGAGTACAGTGAATCAATCAAATGACTCAATAACTCATTTAGTGACGATGCGGTGCTCGACTGAGCAGTTTCATAGGTCAAAAAAGAGAAATATAACCAAGGAAAACATGATTTTGTGTGCAAGTCGGATAATTTTGCATTAATATTTTAGTTTTGCGCAATATAATTTTAAATGTGTTTAAAGTTTTGATACATGCTTATTTTTTTTTTTTAAATGCATTATTACTTTTTTGATTTACGCTTATTATTTTTCGATCCGTGACCATTTTTTGCTATTCTGAAAACTTTGCTTTCATTTTTGAACTTTGTGCAATATATTTTTACTTGCGTTTTTAAAGTTTGGTTTCACGCTTATTACGTTTTATTTGTCACTGCAATAATTTGGCAGAAAATTGATTCCATACATAACAGGCAAATAAATAAATCAATCAAAAGAGGGAATTTTATACTTTACGGAAGGTATAACTTTATATTTAATAAAATGTAGGATTTTAATTCTGTTATTTTCAAAATCAGACATCAATAGTTGCATTTTCATGCATTTTGAATTGTGTGTATGTGTATTAGGAACTTTCTTGCATGCAAATAAGTGTCTATTACCAATGGTGACTTTGCTTATGTGTTTGTTTTCATGCACAAAAACAGAAAACGAGACTCAAACTGATTTGCACAGAACGAAAGCCTGATTTCCATTTAGATATCAGTCCTATTTTTCTGTACATTTTATATTTCTCTGTTTTTATATATATTTATTTTATATTTTAATATAGTACATTCATTTTCATTTGTGATACTGTGAATGTAAGTGTAGAAATAAATAAAGATGTGACCTGTTCTCCATCCACTCCATCCAGCCCATCCTCCCCATCTTCTCCCTGTCAGACAGAGGTCAAAGGGTCACACACACTTACAGTCTGTTTAGGGAAGTAATCAACAACACTAAACAAATAAAACTTATACTTGTGCTTATGACCCTAATAAAATAATTGTGTCTTTTTCAGTGTAAATTTTTATCCGAATAGTAACTGTTACAGCCAGTGAATAGAATAATAACTCGTGTTACTCACTTTATTTCCAGTGTAGCCTCTCTGGCCCTATTGAAATGAGATTTAAAAACATTTCCTTTATTCAGCACAGCTGTAAAACATAATCTCATCTGTCCTCATATACAGGAACATTAAACGCTGACATAAACATATCCTAGCCATGCAGTTAGTAATAGTCATGCTATACCTAAAACAATTAATTCAGTCACACTTAATGTATAAATGTGTTTGCACCAAATAACAAAAATATTAAACCATTTTATTTTTTATATTAAAATTTTGGATTTGTTGATTAATCTTATTTTTAATGGTTAGTTCTTGAAAATAAAAACAGAAAAAGTACCAGTTTAACGTTCTATTTGCAAGTGGTGTATGAAGACATACGGTACTGTACTATTTTGCATACTAAGATAAATCCAGAAATTCCAAGCAAGGGCCCGTTCTTCATACGTGGATTACTCAGTTAGCTGGATTTTATTGTTGATGATTTGACATGATCCAGGATTGTTAGGTTCTTTGAAGCTCATCCTGGAGTTGCTGTCATAATTTTTAAAAAATAATAATAATAATACATTTTTTATTTACAAGTTTACTCATGGAGGGTTTACTCATGTAATTATCTCAATTTTTTTGCAGTCATACACACATTACATACAGTTCTTCCGAGCCATGCATTATTTAAATGGTGAGCTTTTATGCGGGTGGCTTTAATGCATCGCAGGAGATGCAGACTCACTTCTCAAATCTCAAAATGCTTTTATAATGCACAATTAATTTAAACAGTCAGTTATGTCTTAAGATGGATCTTACGGATTAAGAAACTTTAATTAATGCTGTCACGTATAACAAATCCACTTCAAAAGTAAATGAATTGCTCATTACAATACTTTTGACATGCAAATGCAAAGTCTGTATACAAATACTAGAAATGGTGAAAAATAATTGGGAATCAACAAACAAATTGACATTTTATTAACTTTTTTGTCATTTTGCTCGCTTGGCTGTTTCCTTGATCTTAATTACATGATGTAATTACGTTGCTGTCTCGCCACCAGCCAATCACTGCATTGCTGATCATGGTTTCGAGTATCGATATATCTGACCCTCCCAATGAGCATGTCAACACGGAGTAACTTCAGACAACTTCATCCAGATATTTGAATCAAATATGCAAACTTTTTGAAGAACATAATTAGCCAGAGATCAGTTATCACGATTAAATGATCTGGCATCTGTCAAATCATCTCAGATGTATTAAGCGAGGCACGAAGAACGGACCCCAGAACATTGCACTGATAAAAACGACATCAAGAGATGCATCTCCAATGATAATAATATGTTACATTACCTTTATTCCTCTGTTTCCAGGGCAACCGCTGTGTCCCTTAGTTCCATTCAGCCCTGGTGGTCCTCGCTCTCCCTGCCAGAAACAAGATGGGAGAAAGATCGTTTATCCATAGCATATACGGCCTACATCCTCTCTAAACAGCCTCATTGTTTATATGTAGGTATTAGTATGTAAAGTTTACAAGCACAAAATGTACATTTTTGTATGTTTTGATTGATGCTGAAACGTACAATTTGGACGTATAACAACGTTTAAATAGTAAAATTACAATGTATTTACAGCTATAAAAAAAAAGGTTTACAAATCTTTTATATCATTAAGATATTTATATCAATGCATTTTTATAATTTTATCGAAAAGCAATTTCGATTTTTTTGCCTCCTTAACCTACCCCCAAACCTAAACCTACCCATTTTATAGCGAATATAAAAAGATATAAAATGTATCGGACCAAAATATGCATGAAAATGATCATTTTAGTAGCAATATAGCATTAAAGAGATTTCTTCACTAATCCCACTCCTACCTCTAAACCTAACCATAACTATTGCTTAAAAATATGTTCAGTATAAAGAATACTGTAATGCAATCACAATAATTTTATTTATTTATTTTATGTTTTGTAGAATCACATTTTACATAAAATACATACGAATTCTCATGAGATCAGGTTGCTCTAAAACGTGTATTATTTACGTGTTTATTGCACTTTATCTATTTGTGTCTGTAGATTTCAACACATATTCTTAAAATCGCTTTCCCAAAATGACTTTTTCTCCACTTCAGTAGCCCTTGCATACACCAAACTTTCCCATCTATATTCTGACAGTTTTTACAGAAAGGTTTGTTCATATATAATTTGCCTTATTTTATATAACATTTTATTCCTAAAAACATGGTGATTTTTTTTTTTCCTCTGATTTATGGAGAGATAAAGAGAAAATCCACTCTGTAAAAGCCTTTGAATCTAATATGTCAACAAAATGAAACAATGAATTTTGAATAAATATTCAAATCAGATGAAAATCCAGTGATCAGATTTCTGTTCTGGAAATGTATGCAAATTTGTTAGATACACACAATCTCATTTGAATATTTAAACATGACTTTTCATAAAACTTATTCAAGAATTGCAATTCTTAATTTAATCGATCACCTGGGGAAGTATGGTGATATCTATTAGTTCATTTTTTTACCGTATTAATCTGTGATGTCTGCCTTCAGTACATGTAGGCTGACAGTTTCACTTACCATACTACCTTCATCTCCTGGAAATCCAGGATGGCCCTTCTGACCATCAAAGCCCCTAAAAAAAAAAAAAAAAAAAAAAAAACAGGGATGCTGACACATAAAACCTGAATTTCTTTAAGGCATCATAGCCATGTTCCTGATGCGAAGGCCATTCAAAATCACACTGTCTTTTAAGATACCTCATTTTATTTCCATTCTAAAGCAGCAATGTATTTATCATTGACATAACGAGAAAATGCATCAAGCTCAGTGAGAAAAAATCTGTCCAAGAGAATCAAAGCGAGAAAAAATATGTAAATCCACAACATTTATTTTCTACATTATCAGAATTGAGGGGCTTTGACCTTTTCACCCGAGCTTCCAGGGGGTCCTCGTGGTCCAGGTACACCGGTGCATGAACAAGGCACATCACAGCATTTCCTCAGCGCTACTGTTTCCTGAGGGGCGAGCAAGGTGCACAATGAGTGAAACTGTTTGTATTTTGTTGCTGAAGTCACAAGCCATGCATCCAATCGAATTTTAGGTTACTTTACTACAACTGTATCCGTCACTTGGTAGTAGCTTGAAAAATTACAGGTGACAACCCTGAAAACTATAAACACATATACAAAAGTTACAATCCAGACTACTTTAAATATTTGTCCAGTTGCAATGGTTTGTGTTGACCACAATGTGTTTTGTGTGGTGATTAATAGTCTACCAAGAGCATCTGGAAATCAAAGATGTTAATAAACATCAATATTTGATGATTGTACAACAGACAATTTTGTGTGCAATGTAAAATGTGGCTCATGAAGACCACAAGAAAAAAAGAAAGGTCACAGAGCAGAATGAATTCAAAATAGTAGAAGAGCTCATTTATTTAATGAGAAGATAAAAAAATAAATAAAGCTGACAACACTATTTTATCTAAACAAGTTCAAGGGAAGTAGCTATGAAAAGCCTTCATTTAAAACACACAAATTACAACTTTTGTTTCAATGCAACATTTCTTTCAGAAGAGCTGCTGTTGAGTAATTGATGCAATTTGTGCATATGATGTAAAAAAAAAAAAAAAAAAAAAAAGCCTGTCAAGAACTGCAAAATGCTACTTTACTTTGAGTGAACAGCGCCTTTAAGCATTGTTTTGATACTTACAATCTGTTTCATAAGAGCGTTGCCTAAATTTAGCATGTTGATGGTCAGTGGCTGCACGTAGCCGAAACCTCTGCCAAATTCCAGCTGGTGAACGTCCATTATTCCCTCCAAAGACACAATCAGCAGTGCACTGACCCCTAGTTTACACATCAGAAATGAGCGCACATGGGTTTAGTACAGAGTGACTGCAGAAAAAAAATGGTTCAGGGTCACAGTCTTTGCCTTAAAATTTTTGTGGAAGAAAAGACCCACAAAAAAGGCAGGGAAAGCATGGCACAGGCATTCATGGGGGCTACTTATACAGGACTGCTAATTAAAGCTGCTTTCCATAACTTTTTTGGTTAAAAATGATCCAAAATCAAATATTGAGCAAGTACATAACCAATCAGTGTTCAATCTTCTAACCTGAGCCCGATTAACAATAGTAAGCTTGTAATAATGTTTTCTTGTAATTTGAATGGTTCCGGGTCATTCATCTTTGCATCATTACGTCACGTCTGTATACATAAATAAGCAGTCCCGGCCAGTAGGCTATATTGCTATTAAGATGCTTACAGCATTCTTACAGACTATTCGGATTACAGATACGTGGGATTACACTGTACTTATAAAAATATTTGTATTTCAAAGAGAATGAGTTCTAAGGAACATTAAATTGCTTTTTGAGGTTAAAAGAACAATTTATTTCAATGACATTCGAGTGGTATGACAATTAGATTAGACTACAGAAATTGAAATCTACAGAGAACGCTACACACTACATTTGACTTTGAAAACGTAAGTATCTGAAAACAATGATGCATGTTAAGCCTGTGATATTGTACATATAGATATCTATATCATACACTATATCATAGTGTTGTTAAAGATAATGTTACTTTGCACTTAATATCACATTACTATTAATATTACATTCCTGCAAATATGACAGAAATTTACACACAATTGCTGTTCTGCGGCAAAACACATCAACTGTGCATCTGAATATATGGAATAGTGATTTTAAGTGTGACTTGGATGCGCCAGCAAGTGGAGGGATAAATCCAGATTAATGTGGACATAGCCAAAGACATCACTTACCACTTTGCTTAAGTCTCTCTGAACTCGCCATTAAACGCTGAATGTCATCATCCAACCCATCTGTGAAGATTATCAAAACCTAAACACAAACATATGATTAAATGTCAGGGAATTGTAAACACTGTTTTCAGAGTACCATAAACTAAATAGCAATAAATATTAAATGCCATCTAGGTGCCCGATATGAATCTAAGTGACCAAAGGAAAAAAAGAAAAAGTACACCACTGAGCTGAATCTGATTTCCCAACCATGTATGGCTGGCCTCTTCCATCTATTGTCATTTACAGCCTGTTGTAGATCCTGCTGCATAATAGGAAATTAGCATTTTTAAAATTCATAATTTTTCCAATAGTGCTCTTACTGATGCAATTTCATCTTAAAGCATCATTTTGGGTAAAAATATCATGCCAAACGCCAAGTGCATAGTGTTTCTTTATTCGTAAAAAAAAATAGTTAAACATTTCTTATGAAAGTATCTCAGTAAAACATCACAAAAATAAAAGCATTTGAAAATGATATCAGCAGAGGTGCTCTTGCTTAATTAAGGGAACATTAACAAAGAATATAATATATAGTTGACATTTCGATGGTCAGTTTTATGTCTTGAAAACACTCCCACCTTTGCCTTGGCTTTGGAGGAGGCTAACATTTCTCTGAAGGAATCTAACAGAAGCTCGTTGAAGACCAGGGATGCCGTAGGTCCCAATAACATCAATTTCTTGACCACATCCTCGTTGTACTTCTCAAAGCCAAAATCATCAAGAACACTCCCATCTCGCCCAGACACAAGCCTATAGCCAAATCTAGTTGTAATCTTGTCCTTCATGATGCAGCACAGATCACCCATCATGGAGATACGGTGGATGGCTGCAGAAACCAATGGTTCCACCTGAGGTCTGAACAGAGTTTGCGTGCTTGTTCGTCTGGACACGTCAAACCCAAAGGCAATGTCAATATCACAGTCTGTTCGAACAAAACAATGGGTCACAATCTTCAAGAAAGGGTATAGACAAAATATTATGCATCTATGGAAGGATATTCCGGATTATTTTCAAAAAGAATTGCAAATTGTATTTTCAATTGCGTTTTCCAAATGTGGATGCATTAATTGTGACATAATCCAAACGCAATTGCAAATCTTGCATTACCGTTTGCGCTTTCGCGAACGGACAGTGACTGCCAAATTTCAAATGGAAAAGCAAAGTCCGTTTGCAACTGTATTTCCCATGTCTTATGAGTTATGAGCCTATCAATACTATTTAAATAGCAATAATAATTAACACGTCTGCTTTTTCACTCTCTCTGTGTCGTGCATGTAACCTGCCAAAACTCAAACAAAATCACAATTGATTTTTCATTTGAATTTCCGATGCCTTACACGGAGACCTGTCAATCAGTGTCAGGGGTGGAACTATACTATGGGCCGTGTTTGTATTGCGAAGTGACGTCACTCACAGACAATTGAGCCGAATGCTTTGAACAATGGACCTCTAAAGGCAGCTGCCAATCCGATAGATGCGTGTGAACGAACAGACAGTACAACCTGGGTCTCCTTATATTCTTGGCACCTTAAACAAAAAATAATTCTGTAGTTTTTATCCCAAATGCAGCAACTATCCCCTGCTAACAGCGGGAGCCACAACGGTACGCACAATAGGTCAATATTCACCATTAACCAAACGCTTTTCACCTGTCTCAAGATCTCTCACTGTTTACACTCCAGTTCATGCATGTGACCATACAGAAAAGGCTGCTATTTTTACTCTGCCTGCCCCAGATGACACTTCACCAGTCAGATCTAGGCGCAGCTGTCACAGAACATGCCACAGCCAAAGTGAGTTATTATTTAAAATCATGTGCATCAATCAGTTTCCAGTTTGACAGTGAGAGATGTTGAGGCAGGCGAGATGCTTAGGTGCCACTGGACGTGCGCTCCATAATGGATTAAAAGAGAGGAAAACATATAAGGTAAGTTGGCAAATAGGTAAATAAGTGTAGATGTGCACTGTCTGTTTGTTTACATGCATCAATTGGAGTGCAAACAGTAACAGGCTGGCGTGACGCTTAGGTGCCACTGGACGCATGCTCCATTTTGGATTGAAAGGGAGGGAAAAATATATATGGTAAGGTGGCAAATAGGCAGGCTAATAAGAGTAGAAGGAGAGGCAGGTCGCAACCATTGCACTGCATGTTTGCTCACGTGCATCAATCAGAGTGTAAACAGAGAGATCTTGAGACAGGTGAAAAGTGTTAATGGTGAATATTGACCTATTGTGATTACCGTTGTGGCTCCCCTTAGCAGGGGATAGTCGCTGCATTTGGGGTAAAAACAATGGAATTGTTTATTGTATAAGGTGCCAAGAATATAAGGAGACCCGGGTTGCATTGTCTATTTGTTCACATGCATCTATCGGATTGGCAGCTGCCTTTAGCAATGCCTTATTCCATTGTTCAAAGCATTCGGCACAATCGTCTGTGAGTGATGTCACTTCCCAATACAAACACGGTCCATAGTATAGTCCCACCCCTGACAGGTCTGATTGACAGGTCTCCATGTAAGGCATCAGAAATTCAGGAGAGGCAGGTCGCAACCATTGCACTGCATGTTTGCTCACGTGCATCAATCAGAGTGTAAACAGAGAGATCTTGAGACAGGTGAAAAGTGTTAATGGTGAATATTGACCTATTGTGATTACCGTTGTGGCTCCCCTTAGCAGGGGATAGTCGCTGCATTTGGGGTAAAAACAATGGAATTGTTTATTGTATAAGGTGCCAAGAATATAAGGAGACCCGGGTTGCATTGTCTATTTGTTCACATGCATCTATCGGATTGGCAGCTGCCTTTAGCAATGCCTTATTCCATTGTTCAAAGCATTCGGCACAATCGTCTGTGAGTGATGTCACTTCCCAGTACAAACACGGTCCATAGTATAGTCCCACCCCTGACAGGTCTGATTGACAGGTCTCCGTGTAAGGCATCAGGAATTCAAATGCAAAAGGAATTGCAATTCCATTTGAGTTTTGGCAGGTTACATGCACGACACAGAGAGAGTGAAAAAGCAGACGTGGTAAATAATATTGCTATTTAAATATGACAGGTTCATAACTTGTGAGGCATTGGAGATACAGTTGCAAACGGACTTTGCTTTTCCATTTGAAATTTGGTAGTCACTACGTGTTCACAAAACGCAAACGGTAATGCAAGATTTGCGATTGTATTTGGATATGCATTTGCATTTGGATACACAATTAATGTGCCCACATATGGAAAATGCAATTGAAAATACTATTTGCAATCCCTTTTGAAAACAGTCCGGAATATCCTTCCATATACATCATCATTATCATTAATGCAAATGCATACATATGTACACTCCTCAGTATATTACCATGTTAGATGATTTTTTTAAGAAGTAAGGGATTCCCAAAATCGCTTAACAATTTTCTGCCATCTACAGGTGATTAAAAAAAGGATTCATCTAATGGATATTAATTTTGTATCTTTTCAGGGCATAGAAGATTCATTTTTCCTGGCTAAAATGAATCCCAAAACTTTGAAAATTGTGGATGTACATTTTGATTGATTGATTTTAATCGACTAGTAGGCATCAGACCTCTCCAGATAACTGCTTTTTTAATAATTGTTTTTTAAACAACAGTAATTGGAAGCCTTTCTAAAAAAATATAAAGCAAAAAACATATGCTGTTATAAAACGTGTAAATTAAATGATAGCTTTAGTCAAAGAAATTGTTAAAATCAGTTAACATCTACATCCCTAGTGAAAATCAAAGACAAGATAGAAGATAAGGAAATGTTCACATGTGCATGGTCATATGTTCAATGCATTCATCTGTTTGAGGTCAGAAATTTGTGGAAGTTTATAACAAATCTTACTGGACTTAGGTCTTTGAGTTCTGAAAGTTATAGTATGTTTTGTCGAAAAATGTTACTTTCATTTAAAAATTAAATTACATTTAAATTAAAGGATTTCTCAACAAATTTACTTTCCATCTTCCTATTAACTATTGCTCTGTTCCAAAACCTGTTGAGCTTCCTCATCAAGCAGCAGGTCATAAGATAATGGTCATAATAAATAGTCATTTGGAGGCAGGTGGCCGATCATCAGGTTTAGGAACCGAGCTTACATGTAGAGTATTTGGTATATAAAATAATTATGAATTATAAATACTATAAAAACTAGTCACTTACCATGTGTGGGATCATCCTGTCTTTCGTCTCTACAGAGTAAATGTAACACTTTCCTTTTGGTTGTCATCAGTTCAAGGCCATCAAAAGATTCAATAAGGACCCGATTATCTCCAGCTATTTTCTGCAGCTCAGATTTCTTTATTTCTTTGCCTATCCCAATGGCAGTTATTGATATGCCCTTGTTTCTGAGATACTCTAATGCATTCAAGTCTTCCTTATCTTTAGCATCTCCATCTGTGATCAGCAGGAGATTCTGAGCAACACTTTCCTCTATTCTGGATCCATTCTCTCTTGTGAAGTAGTATCTAATATTTCTCAGGGCGTCCCAAGTACTTGTGCCCTGTTCTCGCTGATTAATATTTTTTATAGCTTCCTTCACTTCTGCAAAACTAGTGTATGTGTTCAGGTAAAAGTGATGCAGGAGTATATCGCTGAACTGGGCAACACCCACTCGCCATTTGTCTTGAGCAATATCCAGCTCTCTCACAATGCCAATCATGTATCTTTTGAGAGTATTCCAACTTTCATTTTTAATAGACTCTGATCCATCAATTAAAAAAACAAGGTCTGAAAGCTTCTTCTCACAAACTAGAAAGAGAAACAAACAAACAAAAAACATTAGGACTACATTAATGGACAGTTCTGTAAAGCAACATTGAAACTAGATTAGCAGGCCACAAGTTTCTCATTATTTAGGGGCTATTTACACTTGGTCACTTCAAATCACACATTTGTACCGATAGTTACAGAAAGTTCAGTAGGTGGTCTAAGACCCCGGATCCCGTAGGGGTGCGCAGACTGACCACCAGGGCTGCGCAAGAGAATAATTTTGATGATCTGTGGCCTATCCATCTCTCTAAAAAGGGTAGGAAGTCAAATTCTTTTTTATTTATAACTGAAATTCTGATGTTTTCTAATATTCGGTCAGGGCTTGACATTAACACCCGCCAACCTGCCAAATGCGGGTGGATTTCAGCAGTGGCGGGTAACATGGTCACTCCCACGTTGATGGGTTGAATTTTATATACAATAACAGAGCTTGACATTAATGCTTGTCTGGGACAAGTGGATTTTTTTGAACGGGCATGTGAAAGAGAATTTTACATGCCCGACCGGACAATTAACCTGATTAATATATCTAATTAGGGAAGCACTGAAATTTCGGCGAGAGTCATTCTAATTTTATTACATTTGGTGTAAACGGTGATTGATAATGGATAATGTATTGACAGTAACAAGGTTGCACCAGTTGAGGTTCACGCAGCCTGTGTGTGAGACAATCTCATGGAGAAATCAAAACAAATGAACACAACTGCACACAGAAGAGAAGAAACATACTGTGGTAAAAATTTAGTTTGTATATTTATAACATGACACGACCAAGAGAGTGCAGTTTTCCCTGAAAACCAGGGCCCGTATTCTTAAAGATTCTAAGAATCCTCTCAGAGAGCTCCTAATTAAGCTTAGCTTAAAGGTGATTCAGGACCAATCTGAGAGCAACTCTGAGCGAGGAAAAGACAAAAAAAATGTTATCTTAGTGAGGAGGCGGGGCTGACCCTGTTGCTAGCTATGACACAGTCTTTTGAAGACTGTGATTGGTTGCTTGTCCAAGAAGGAAATAAAAGAGCGCTTTTAAGAGTAGGGTCTATTATAAGCCTTCACTTTGAAATTACAGGCATAATTTTTCCTGTTTTACCATGCTCTCTCTCACACTCTCTCTCTCTCTTTCACACACACACACACATGCACAATATATGTATATATTTTTTATTTCCCATGCTGTCATACTTAACGTATTTTATAGGAAATGAACAGCGACACAATAAGGTTCTGAAAGTGTTGTAATTGTTTGTGTGATCACTTTGCTTATAGAAGTTTGTGAGTGACAGACCCAAATCATCACTGCTGCATAGTTATATTTTTCCAGTTGCCAAATATGCTAATGTAGTTAATGTAATGATTTATTTCCATTTCTGGCGCTATGGCATTTCTGTGCGTTGTCAGAGATGTTAGCGTGTCTCTAATAAGATCGGTCACAAACATAATCCCTGCACGATCTAATGTGTAATGTCTTGTTAACTCACTGTCATGCATTGTGTGCAACACATTTCTTCTCCCTCTTCATCCATTTTCTCCGCTGCTAAAGAAACTCTTAAGCCTCTTAAAAGTCCTCGTCCGTACTCCTAACAATTTTGGAACTTAAGACCTCTTTTAAGGGTTAAGATGCTTTCTGAAAAACTTTTTTTCTTTACTAGGATCTTTTCTTTAATTTTAAGAGGAAACACCCACATTTCTAAGAATTTTCTTAGAATTTTGTTACTAGGAGCAACTCTTAGCACTAAGATTTTTCATGAATACTGGCCCTGGATTGCAAATTTGACATTGATTTACAAGAGTTTGATTTTTCTTATACAAGAGTTCAACTTACATTTTTATACTATATTGTCAGTGTTGACTGTTTTTGCCCGATTTATTTAACGAAAATAGTACCAAACAAAGATTGCAGCGGAACAGTTGCGCATCTCTGAGCAAGACTTAACGGTGTTTCCTTACTGAATAATTCAGCGTTTTTGAATCAATCATTTTAGTCAATGATTCAGTGGTCCATTCATAAACACATTCTTAAAGTCATTCATTCAAACAAATTGTTTGAATGAAACTGGAAATCATTTTAAATAAATTTTAGTAAGCAGTAGCTAGACATATAAAACAATTTCCCAAAAACAAAATTGTGGCCAGTGAAAATGCTGAGTGGCTAATTTTGGAAAACCACTAGCCACAGTGATTGGTGAGCAAATATGTATACAGTAAATATGTGTATTATTGCCGTCAAAAATGTGGTGTTTAACTGGAGTAAGGTGGTAGGGGTGCTTGACACGTGTCAAACACTAGAAAGGGGTGCACGCTGAAAAAAGTTTGGGAACCACTGGTCTAAGACACTTACAAGATGCGACCTGACCACATAAGCAATCCACACGTGGCCAAGCAATCATGGATGAAGCAAACATGAGACACAAACATTAAGCATCATCTGGGGATGAAGAGTTTTGAAGTGAATTATGTTGCCATATATCATGGGAAGAGTAGATCGGATTTATATCTGTATTTATGTGAAGTATAATTGGACATCAATCTGATCAATCAAGATGCAAAATGACTGAGCAGAAACAGTCCCTTAAAGTCAACTTACTCTATTGAAAACGTAGTTACTTCCTGACAAAATGCAGTGGTCAACATATTTTTAAATATATATTATTCCTTTGATATTATTTAATCAGAAGATACATTCACATAGAACTTTTAAGTTCAGAAAAATGTATGACATGAAGGTCTGGTTTCACAGACAGGGCTTAGATTATGCCAGGATTAGGCCATAGTCCAATTAGGACATTTAAATCGTTTTTATAAATGTGCCTTAGATAAAAACACTACTGTTGTGCAGCCAGAGACAAAACAATTGAACTGACATATTTTAAGATCATTCAGAGCAAGTTTCTTTCAGTTAAAACAGACCAGACATGCATTCCAGTCTGGGACTGGGGAGGGGGGTATGGTGAAAAGAATAAGATTTACTTGGTTTGCAGAGCTCTTGGGCGACCCCTTTTTGTAGTCCACACAGATCCTGGTAGGTGTTCGCATAGTGCACTGTTCCTTCATATCCCACCATCTCATTTAGCTGTTTCTTATCGGCATCTTCGGTACCAATAGCAAAAAAGATGACATTTGACTTTGCCAGGGATTCAAGCCATGTTGCCAGACCACTTAAGTCATTAACCTTGCCATCTGTAATCAGAAATAGCACTTGGGGAACATTCTTTGCCCGTCGTCCACCATGTGTTTCACCAAAGTAGGAGAGTGCATAGTTCAGTGCTCGGACCGTGTTTCTTGTTCCTCCTGAAGCTTTGAGGTTTGAGATAACCCTCAGAATATCAGTTTGACTGTAGTACTGTTTTAGTGTAAACTCTGAACGAGGGTTGTCAGAGTAGGTGATGGCGCCAAATCGTGCCCCTTTTTCTCCAACCACAGACTTTCTCACCATATATTTCATTAAGTTTATCATTTCTTGAAAACCATCTTTATTGGGACTTCCAGCATCAACAAGGAAGATTATGTCAATCAATTTTTGTGTCTTGCATTCTGGAAAGATATATGATGTTAATGTTAGAAGTCATTTGGAAAAGTCACTTTAGCAGGAGTCAAACACACTTTTGCTAATATTTGAAGTGGTTTTTACTATAATACACATGAAAAATGACAAGCTTTGAGTGGATGTACACATTACAAATGTGCAATCCTTCTCTTTTGACAAAACAGACATGAGCCATAAAAGTCTACATGCTATAGCTGGTCAGATTCAGATAGTCTCAGGGGACTTTGGAAATGGAACAGATTTTGAGTGTAAGATGAGTCATCAGTACTTTTGGTCCATTTTCATGGAGAATAAAGACTATTATAAATGTTTGCACTTTTAGGAGTACACTTGCATGTAGATGCCCTCAAAGATAACAGACATTGACTAGAAACATTTTTTTCAAGGGGTTTACCATCAACTGACAGAAGTTACTGGCATGATGTGATCTCTCCTAAAAAATCTCAGATTTGGTTTACGTACCTGAGTTGCAGATCTTGAGAAGGACGTCATTGCTCAAGTCTTTTGGGGAAGCAAATGTGCCTTCAAAGAACACTCCATCATGGGATCCATCATGGGATCCAGCAATGGCAAAAATCTGAGATCTGTCTGCATGTCTCATACCAATAGCATTAATGTTGATAAAATTGTCTCTCAAGACTTTAGCAGGCTCGGCTACATCATCGATACTCTCTCCATCTGTAAGAACTATCAAGAACCTAAAAGCACTGCAACGTCCTCCTTTAGAAATGTCGAAAGATTGTAATACTTCTTTAAGTGCTTTTCCAGTGTACGCTTTTCCCTTCATCTGTTTGATATTTCCAATTTTCTGTAATAATACAGCTTTATCGTCAAATGTATTTAAGGAAAACTCCTCATTTGGGTCTGTGCCGTACTGAACAACCGCAACACGCTCCTTGTCCGGTCCAATTACAAACCTATCTATCACAAGCTTCATTATGTCCTTCATATTTTCAAAGTCCTTAGCACTAACGCTTTCTGATCCATCAAGCAGGAAGACAACATCTGCAAAAAGACCTTCACAACCTAAAAATAAGAAATTCATAAAGTGATCACTCCTTCTGTGAAAGGAATCTTGAAAGAAATTCTATTTAGGCCAAGAGAAAAAAAATCAAGGAGTATCAACTGGATACCGACAGTTATTTATCTGCATGCACTGTATTATTTTATCACCAATTCAATAAAAAAAATTGTGCAAATCAGATAACAGTGTATGTTACATTATAAACATATGCCATTAATTGAATTTCTCACCGCATATTTCTGTAATGATGTCTTTCTTGATTTCATCAAGGAAATCATAGTTTTTGACATAAAATGTTCTTTGTGGGCTGCCAGATATTAATTCCAGCTCTGGCTCAGATGCATCTTTCACACCAATAGCATAAATGATGACATTCTGTTCTGTTCTCAGAAGTTTAGCAGGGACTTCTACCGACTCTACTGTGCCTATTGACTCGCCATCTGTGATGACAATCAGGAGCTTACGAACCTTTTCCCCACGTGTTCGTACAGCTTCTTCGAATAGCGGGATCATTTCTCTCAACCCCAAATCAGTCCTGGTGCCCCCTCCCATATTTCTGAGGGATGTCACTGCCTTTTCGATATCAGCTTTTGTGTTATAGTAATGTATTCGAAAAACTATGGTTGCGCTGCTTGCAAATTTCACCAACCCAAAGCGCACATGGTTATTTCCAACCTCAAATGCTTCAAGCAATTGCTTAGTAAAGTTCTTCATATCGTCAAACTCATTACTGTTAATACTTCCTGATTCATCCAGAAGAAAGTATATGTCGGCTTTGGTTGTTTGCTTGCAACCTGCAGTGGAGTGAAATTAGATTTTGAGTATACAGATATGATTTTTTTTTTTCATCATTACTGTGCTCTTAGTAATTTAAAAGAAAATGAGTAAAAACATCTTACCAACCTTGTAAAACAAAGCTCTGTGAGACTCTAGGTATGATGGAATCTGTGATTTCATTGCAAAGTGTTTTGGTTAAAATATTTGAAAGTGAATTTAGTTTATCAAAGTCTTCCACGTTGAATACAAACTTTTTATATGGGTAGGATGCAATCTCTCTCAAGTCATCCTCCTCTGTGTCTTTAATACCAAGCGCAAATATAGTGACGCCAGATCGCCGCAATGCTGCCGCAGCCCTGGCCACCATCATCGAAGGTGTTGAAGTACACATCAGCTCGAGGGAAGTCACTATAGAGCACCACAGCAATTTTTATTTTTCCCTCACCTACATCGAGAGCTCCGATGGTGTTCTTGAGAAAACTGCGCACAAGTTTGAAGTTTTTGGATCTGATACTGCCGGACTGATCAACAATAAAAGCGATATCTGCCACCACGTCAAACATGCACTCTGTCAAAAAGACATGAGAATTTTATAAAACCAGAGTCTTTTGGATTATATACTACATAATAGTTTTTCAAGCTTAAACTCTTAGCAAATCAAAGGTTTATGGGTTTTTTGGAAAGAATAATAGATAATGCATGCACTCACCCCTTGCGACAGCAGCATCTTCCCATGTGTCAATGGCAGACTTAATTTTCTGTTGTACTTGTTGGATGTTACCTACTAACTTGTAGCTGTGTTGTTGACTAGAGATGTACTTCATCTCATCTACATCAGCTTTGTTCAAGCCAACAGCAAAAACTGTCACTGCATCTGTTTTGATTGTGCGGGATGCTTGGACCACACCATCGGCAGATTCTCCAGCTGAAATAACTAACAGAAACTGCTTAAAGCCTTCAGAGACACGGCTTCCAGTGACATTACTGAAGACATTTTTATGAGCATATTCAATTGCATTGCCAATTCTACGATTCCCTGTAGGTCTCAGTGTCAGGCTGCGAATAGATGACAAAATCTCATTCTTGGTCTTATCAGTATTTAGCAGAAACTCCTCTTTGACATTTTCGCTGAACTGAGCCAGGCCAACACGATTAGTATTCTTTCCCACGTTGAGCTGCTGGATCAGTCTTGAGAGGAAATTCTTTATTGTTTGCTGCTCCTGTCTAGATGCTGAACTATCAACCAATATTAAGAGATCAGCAAATTTTGGCTCAAAAGCTGAAGAGAATGGAAATCAATGAACAGAATTATTTACATCTAAGCAATAAATTAATAAACTGTGCCATACTAGAGCACAAACAACAGCAGATAGGAGTTCACTGTATGATGGGAGTGGGACTCGAAGCTAGTACATTTAAGGAAAGTTTTTTGTTTTGCTTGTACTAATCTTAAGGTTTTCATATTCAACACTCCCATAGTATAGACACAAATAGAAAACCATACCAAATAAAATCTGTTACCTTGTGACTGGACCGTCACAGTAAAGCACACTTTGTTGCGCAGACTTTCTTTTAGAACTTGCAGTTCTTGATAACTATCGATACTGAATAAGAACTCTTCATGTGGGATATTAGCAATGGTACGCAGTTTTTCCATGTTGCCCGTTCCCACCCTGATGACAAAGATGGAAACTCCTAGGTTTCGTAGTCTCTGGGAAGGTTCCTCCACATCATCATTTGATTCCCCATCTGTGATGACTATGGCAATGCCAGGAACATTCTGTCTGGCCAGTGTAAAGTAATTTTCACGGATGAAAGTCAGGGCCAGACCAGTGTTGGTGCTTCCTCCACGGTAAATGAGATCAGTCAACTTTTGGTGCAGGTCTGTCTTATCTGAATAGTCACCGAGCAGGAACTCTTTGTGCGGCATGTCACTGTACTGAGCAAGTCCCACTCTCACCTTGTCGGGTCTAAGGTTAAAACTGTCCACAAAAGAATGGAGGAACTCCCTCACTTCTTTAAAATGACTGTCTCCAATGCTACCAGACGAGTCCACAAGGAGCACAATGTCTGCCTGAGCAGTTTCGTCGCAGCCTAGAGCAAATGGAAGAATTTTAGTGACAACTTTGACCACTTGATTCTGCTCTTAATTCTTATGTTTGCACAAATAAAATAATACAAAGATAGTAATCTTTCCTTTGAAAACCATGTTTCTAGCATTTGTAAAACTGCATTTTTCCATCTTAAAAATATATCTAAATTACGACCCAGAGGGGAACCGTCAGGGCCCTCTAGGCCCTCAGAGAGCCTATTGTAAAAACAATATTTACCTTTTTTTATATATTTTTTTTTTAATTACACATTTTAAATATTATTTTTAATAAAAAGTCATTATTTCTATTTTTATTTAAGCAATTAATCAGTTGACAATCACCACCTAAATAAAATACATACAATTTCTGTGGAAATAAACTCTTCAAATCTGCCTATTCAGTGAATGCGTTACATGAACGACGCCCATTTTCTCCATATTAGAATGTTTCCACCAAGCGTTTGCGGCTCTGTCATTGGCGGTCCAGCTATGAAATCACAGAGGGCCAAGCAATAGTATAGGAGAGTAATTTCGAATGACAGAAAAATTGACCAATCATATCTTTCCTCTCAATGGGTGGGCCTTGTTATCACTAACTTTAAGACAAGTTCCGCCCGCTGTGGGGATCTCTATCGAAAAAAACAAAAAACGCTGATAAACTAACTACTTATTATTCACATCACGATGACAGCTGCAAATAACGTAAGTGAGGACATTTACTAGGCTGCTGTGCCAATAATAATTATTTATTATAAACACTGCTTCTTTGTCATAATTTGTTTCGCTGTGAGCGCTGTCATGATGTGTTGGCTTTACATTTGTTCATTTTGTGCACAGACCGATGCATTTGTAATGAGGATTTTCATTTGACTTAAATTTAGCTATGTATTATTTTGGTGATATCAGTTACTCTCGCTGTGATGTTTTCTTGTTGCATTTCTGAAAGACGGTCGCATACCGGACGAGAAGCGCAGCGCTGTGCTGCGTCTATGGCAACTCACGTATCGCACACCAGAAGGCATCGCGTTCAGTTCAAGATGACAGTCCAAAACCTTTAATCCAATCACCAAACAGTCAAAAGTTCACCTCAAGAATGATCAAGTGCTGTCAATGAGTTTGAAGTTTGGTGATTGAAAAAACAGAGCAAACGGAATGAGAAAGTGCGATCTCTTGCAGTCTATATGAAGCATTGGCTTTTTTAGAGCCATAGAAAGACAAACTTTGCACTGAAAAATGCACAATACACAATCTTCTAGCCTAGGAAGAAGTCATCATGCACATTAACAATAATTTGGGACAAATATAATGCAATTTAAAGGAAATATGTGAGTGGCGTGGCAGGATTTTGAACAGCGCCCAGAGTCACAGCTGGGATCAGCGGACAGTCGCCAGTGGCGCCGCAGGTGTGCATACAGTACATTCATAGAAAAAAATGTGTTCGAATTTTAAAGACATGGTGCGGCGCAGCACTGCGCTTCTCGTCTGGTGTGTGACCTGATTAAGACTGGATTAGCCTATTATTTCAAAGGTGGAATTGTCAAAGATTACTTTTAGTAGAAGACACCATAAGCTAGACTGGTAGTTTGTTTTTTCCCCCGACAAAGGGTAAGGGGAGAGGGCCTAGGTTCAAGAGACACGGTTCGCTACTGTCAAATGTCAAATGCTACTGTCAAATGTCAAATGCAGAAATGTTAATTCATGCGTTCATGACCTCAAGATTAGATTATTGTAATGCTTTATTGGGTGGTTGCTCTGCGTGCTAAATAAAGTCAAGTCAAGTCACTTTTATTTATATAGCACTTTTAACAATACAGATTGTGTCAAAGCAACTGTACAGCATTAATTAGGAAAATAGTGTGTCAATCATGCAAAATGACAATAGTAAACACTCAATTTTCAATTAAAGGCAGTTCATCATTGAATTCAGTGATGTCATCATCCAGCTCAGTTCAGTTTAAATAGTATCTGTGCAATCAAGGCGACGATATCGCTGGAAATAAAGTGTCCCCAACTAAGCAAGCCAGAGGCGACAGCGGCAAGAACCAAAACTCCATCGGTTTATGTGTAAGCCAGGTTAAAGAGATGGGTCTTTAATCTAGATTTAAACTGACAGAGTGTGTCTGCCTCCCAAACAAACAAACTCCAACAAAATGCAGCAGCTAGAGTTCTTACTAGAACCAGGAAGTAAAATCACATAAGCCCGGTTCTGTCAACTAACACACTATCACATTTCTATAATTCAAATCCGTTAAAGGATTGTTAGGCTGCATTTATTAGGTCAACTGGAACCGGGAACACTTCCCATAACATCCGATGTACTCACTACATTGTAAGAAGAATGGCATCTACGCTAATATTAGTCTGTTTCTCTCTTATTCCGAGGTCACCGTAGCCATACGGATCCAGTCTATATCCAGACCAGATGGTGTATCAGCACCTGGAGACGACCTCTACAGCCCTAAATGTCAGTGGAGACCATGTCAACTAGATGCGCCCCAGAGACAGATCCCCAGTGAAGACCTCATCACCTCGACGACCATCGGCACAAGACCACGGGAACCAGAAAAGTCCCCTGCACCTGTGTTGCAGGCTGGAATTAAACCATGCCATGCTGGTTTCGTCTGGCCAGAGGAGAACTGGCCCCCCAACTGAGCCTGGTTTCTTCCAAGGTTTTTTCTCCATTTCTGTCACCGATGGAGTTTTGTTTCCTTGCCACTGTTGCTTTGGCTTGCTTAGTTGGGGACGCTTGACTGATTACACAGACACTATTGGAAGAGAGCTGAACTGGATGATGACATCAATGAACTGACTTTAGCTGAAAAATGACTCTGTTATTATCTTCTTGCATCATTAACAAACTATTTTCCTGTTTGACACTGTTGCTTATTACTTATAAAGCCCTGAATGGTTTAGCACCTCAGTATTTGAATGAGCTCTTATTGCATTATAGTTCTCCACGTCCGCTGCGATCTCAAAACTCTGGCTATTTGCTGGCCATTTGAATATCAAAATCAACTGCGGGCGGCAGATCCTTTTCTTATTTAGCGCCCAATCTCTGGAATAATCTACCTAGTGGGAAGCAGACTCACTCTGTCAGTTTAAATCTAGATTAAAGACCCATCTCTTTAGCCTGGCATACACATAATACACTATCGCATTTCTATAATTCAAATCCGTTAAAGGATTGTTAGGCTGCATTTATTAGGTCAACTGGAACCGGGAACACTTCCCATAACATCCGATGTACTCACTACATTGTAAGAAGAATGGCATCTACGCTAATATTAGTCTGTTTCTCTCTTATTCCGAGGTCACCGTAGCCATACGGATCCAGTCTATATCCAGACCAGATGGTGTATCAGCACCTGGAGACGACCTCTACAGCCCTAAATGTCAGTGGAGACCATGTCAACTAGATGCGCCCCAGAGACAGATCCCCAGTGAAGACCTCATCACCTCGACGACCATCGGCACAAGACCACGGGAACCAGAAAAGTCCCCTGCACCTGTGTTGCAGGCTGGAATTAAACCATGCCATGCTGGTTTCGTCTGGCCAGAGGAGAACTGGCCCCCCAACTGAGCCTGGTTTCTTCCAAGGTTTTTTCTCCATTTCTGTCACCGATGGAGTTTTGTTTCCTTGCCACTGTTGCTTTGGCTTGCTTAGTTGGGGACGCTTGACTGATTACACAGACACTATTGGAAGAGAGCTGAACTGGATGATGACATCAATGAACTGACTTTAGCTGAAAAATGACTCTGTTATTATCTTCTTGCATCATTAACAAACTATTTTCCTGTTTGACACTGTAAAGCTGCTTTGACTGATCTATATTGTATAAAGTGCTATACAAATAAAGGTGACTTGACTTGACTTGACAAGGATAATTTTAAAGGTGTAATCAGTATTTGTTGCAAATGTGCCACTGTCATTATGTTGCCTTAACCTGAGACTCCACAATATTTTTAAATGTCAGCCTTTTCTGAGTCAACCTCCTCTGTCTTTTCTACCTAATCAGAATTAATTTTTGTTTTATATAGAAAAATCTCTTACAATTCCACGAAAAACTTCTTATCTGTACCTAGCTTTCAAGTTATGTGCATCAAAATCAGCACAGTCCTTCAGGCTGTTAAGGCTTATAAATGATTAGATTTGCACATGGCAGATTATCAAAAACCTAATTTACATTGACAAAATGCTCTGAACCTTGCTTGGAATGTTTTTGATTTGATACAAATATTCAAACTATATAACCTTCAAACTAACCCTCAAAATGTTTTAAACACCCAAGCAAAGGCTTTGTCAAACTAATATTTAAAGTATCAAAAAAATACTGAAGTTTTAAGAGCTTAAGTGGTTTGTTAATACTGATTTCTCATCAGGTTCTCTCACTTAACAATTCCCAGTAAAGCTGCGACCCAGAGAAGCGCGGCACTACTAAATTTCATGCGCATAATGATAGTTTTTCAATGTAATATATTACCTTTTGACATCAGGATGACCTCTTTTTGTGTTTCCTCTACAGCGGTACACACTTTCCGGATTACACTCTGAGAGATTCCCTGCAGAGCTGCAAAGTCTGATACGCTGTAGGCGTGCTGATCATACGGCTCGCTCGCGATCTGTCTCAGTAACGTCTCGTTTGCATCTTTGATCCCAATGGCGAACATTTTGATTCCCCTTTGCCTCAGCTCCTGAGCCTGTGACTCGACCTCATCTTGAGAGTCACCGTCTGTGATAACAATGGCAATCTGAGGAACATTCTGCTGTGCTCGACTTCCGGCCTTTTCAACAAAGTGTTGTTTCAGCATGAACTCCAAACCCTTGCCGGTAAACGTCTCGCCAGTTATATAACGAAGATTTTGGATGTACCTGAGAATTTCCTCTTTGTTCTGGTAAGTGCTGAGCGAAAATTCAGTATACGGTGTGTCACTGTACTGGACCAAACCGATCCTGATTCTGTCAGGAGCAACTTCAAAGTTCTCTACGAGCGAGGAGAGGAATTCACGGATTTGTTGGAAGTTCGCCCGCCCAATACTGTTTGAGCCATCCACCAGGAATACAATGTCAGCCACTGTGTTCTGTGTACAGACTGAGAGAAGGAAACCAGAGACTTTTAATTTAATCAACAACCAGACCAAACTGAATATACAGTAAATGTACTGAATAATCTCATCTAATAAATCCTGTCCCTACCAATGTTTTGGCCATTGCTGACAAGAAAACATAATGACAGAACAAGGAAACCAAGTAATCTCCACTCCTTCTCCATGCTTGCGTTCCCTGTTCCTGAAAAAAAAAAGCAACCAATGAGGTTAAAAGTTTCTGCACAACTTGTATCACCAAACAGAATTGCAAATACAATATGCATTAAAAAATAGGGGGGATGTTGTTATACAAGTACAAAGAGACTGAGATCTTCGCATTTCCCTACTGATCTTTCCTGTTTTGTATGAAAATATCAAACAGAATGTTTGTAAAAATTGTCAGGTTGAGATGTGAGAGCTACTGTTTTTGTGTATGTTACTGGTCAACGACAATATGTTCTTACCACACAAGGGCCTTGTCCAAAATGGCACACTTCATGATTACTTGTGTAAACAATGGCCATCAGGTAAGCAAAGCCACAAGGAAGAGTCAGGTCAAACTTAATGAAATGCACACCAGTACAGCATGCATGCAGCAACATTTGCCGAAATTACATTTCAGTCTTACAGATTTGTTACACTGCAAACAAATTTAGCAACTAACAAAGCCTAGATGGCCAAGGCTCCGTATCTATACATATATTTAACACATCTTTAGATACAAAAATATGTAATGTATGCATGTCATGTTTATAAGATGACATAAAACACATCCACTGCTGTGTGATTATTTACCTGAGACTGCACTGAGAGGGTTCTCCTCTTTAGGGCTAATGTTTGTGGCACAGCGCCTTTTAACTTTGATCTAGAAACGGCACGCCTTGTGGGTTGTTCACGTACCGCTGTAGTGAGTATGTATCAAAAGGGATGCATGGATGAACTGTCATCCAGCCGTGTGTCATCCACAGCTCATTGATGTCAGAGGGGAGCAGAGACTATTGAGCATTGTTCACAGTGACCGCAGGGCCACAGTCCGACAAATCACCAGCAGCTACTACAACAGTGGTGACCAGGGCAATGTGTCACTTCACACAGTTCATCAGAGCCTTCTGCATGTGGGCCTCCGTAGCCAACCACCCAGCCAAGTCCCCATGTTAACTGCACACCATCACCAACAAGCATGAAATGAAATGTGGATGATTGGAAGAAAGAAGCTTGACGAATAAAGATTCCAGGTGCATCACGTTGACGGCCGTGCACAGATACGTCAATTACCAACAGAGGCTATGGCACCTGGATGCACTGTTGACTGTTCTAAACAGTACCGGAAAAGGGTTCTTTCTGTTTGTAACAATAGCAAAACCCTTTTTAGTGCTAAATAAAACCTTTTAGAGGATTCCATAAAGAACCATGCTTTGAAAATGCTATATAGGACCTTAATGGTGTTTTAAATAAACTTTTTAGTGATGTTTAATTTTCATTAATATTAGAATATTAGTATATTTATGTCATAATATTAGTATTATTCATATTATTTGTATATATTATTTATTAATATTGTTTTATACCCCTCTATCTGCTTGGTATTACAATATCTTGTAGCGTCTATTAGGGTTTTACATAAAAACAACAACAACGTGTCAATTTGGTACTTTTAGTTTTTTAATGACGTAATGAAATTGTAGCAAAAATGACACTGCTCTAACAACAGTTATTAGCAGAATACATAAATAAATGACAATTGACATTGAACATAAATAAATACTTGAAGTAAAACAAAATAGAAACAGAAGTTCCAGTGAAATGCTGTATTTTCATAATCCTCTATGATGCCTTTAAGTCCATCATTATGAGTATTTTGGTGTGACTGAGTGCCAGTTTCTCTCTGCAGATGCTGAGGTTGTAGGATGTGACATCATCTGAAATGCATAACTGAGTTTAGAGTTACAATATGTCTCCTTTCATTTGTTTTTGTAAAAACAATTGTTTATGAAGGCCAAAAGTAGTAAAAATTCTAACAATATGAACCATAAATATTTTTGTTACTTAATTAGTGGTGAAGAGGAGAGAACTATCCTTAATTGAACAGAGCTGGTCACACTTACATGTTCTCTAAAACTAAAAAGAGAAAAGACATGACTGGTCTGAGTTGGAACCGGTTACAATTTGAAAGTTATCATTTATAGACAATTTAAGAAAGAAATAATTTACCTGTTGAGAGTATGTTGACAGTCTGGTTGAGCTCCAGAAAATCAGTAATGAGCCATCTTTTTTTATAGTGTAGCCTCTGTTAGGGTTTTACATTAAAACAACAGCTGCAGCATGTTGTGTGAATTGGGTACTTTTTTTATTGACGTGAAATTGTGAAAACCAACGTTTGGTTACAGGATCAAAGGAAGCAAAGTTTCATTACTTTAGCAAAGGAAAACCAGTCTCCTCTTGGCTTATATCGAAATCCTCTGACATTCTTCTTTACAAATCCTCGTTTTGTACTTCTAATTCTTGACCGTTGTTTTGTTTTGATCTCTCCCCTGCGTTTCCGCGTGCGTCACTTCTGAGCGGCGCATGCGCAAAGCCGACCTCATACGTCATTCCCCCGGAACTGCTTCCGTTTACAACAGTGAGTGCAAGCTAGATTCAAGTGATTATTACGTTTTGAATATAGATATTTTTCTTACAAAAACGCATCGATTCGCTACAGAAGGCCTTTGTTCACCCCCCGGAGCAGTGTGAGACACTTTTTTTTATGGATGGGCGATTTTTATTTAAGTTCTTTTGGACTGAAGCAATGCAACACCCGCTGAGTGGCATTAAACAGCTTGAAAGATCAAAGACAATTTTTTTATATAACTCCGACTGGATTCGTCTGAAAGAAGAAAGTCATATACACCTAGGATGCCTCGGGGGTGAGTAAAATTTAATTTTGGGGTGAACTAACCCTTTAATAAATGACAACTGACACTGAACATGAATAAATACATGAAGTAAAACAAAATAAAAACAAAAAAATAGATGTGATGAAGACCAAGTTCCAGTGAAATATCTTCACAATCCTCTATGATGCCTTTAAGCCCATCATTTTAATGTGATTGAGTGGCAGTTTCTCTGCAGATGATGAGGTTGTGGGATGTGATGCATCTGAAATACACAGTTGAGTTTAGAGTTACAGTTTGTTTCTTCCATTTGTTTATGTGAACCCTTCACAATCTTAAAAGAATAAAAGTGATATAAATTCATGCCATAGCTTTAATATTTTTTGTGACTTGGTATATTTATGCATAAACCCAAGTAATAATTTAAAAATTCTAACAATATGAATTATAAATTCAACATCTCTGTCTAGGGCTGCACAATTAATCGAAATTAAATCGCAAAGGCAATTAATCGCGATTGGGCAGAAGACATTATCACTGCTTAGAATACAATGAAATATTGTGTGCCTTAATTATTCTGTTTAAGAAGCCACATCATCTCACAGAAGGATTTATTTCAAACACTCGACTGACGTTATGAAGTGAGTTTGGAGTAAAAACATGTTATTAAATGTGGTATTTTCGCGTGCTCTCAGATGGAGCAGCATTTACTACACAGAGCCGTAGTTCACTGAGAAGATACGCAAACAGCTGTCATTATCGCGAACGATTTTGTCGATTTCATAATCCTACGATTATACCGTCTGCGATTATGAATGCAATTTTGCATAGCTTGTCAGAGAACTACGGCTCTGTGTAGTAAATGCTGCTCCACCTGAAAGCAGGTGATGGAGATTTACTACTAATCACAGAACCGGCTTCACTGGCAAAATGTGCATGACAATCGCAATTAATCGCGTTCGATTAATCGTGCAGCCCTCTATGTTACTTACTTAGTGCAGGAGAGAAGTATCCTCAGCTTAACAGAGCTGCTCACACTTACATCCGAGAATAAAAACTAAGAGGAGCGAAGAACATGTTTGTTTGGAAACCAGTTACAATTTTAAAGTTAAATTTGTGTTTAAATTTAAGAATGAAATCACTTACCTGTTGAGAGTGTGTTGACAGTCTGTTTAGTTGGATTGCTGAGCACCAGAAAATCAGTAATGAGGAGCTTTCACAGATACAGATTTGAAAAACAAAAAGGCAGGAATAAAGAACCCTAAACTTTAACACAAAGAACCATTTCAGCATAAAAGGGTTCTTCATGATGCTATGGTTCTAAATAGAACCGTTACTACATGTAAAGAACCTTTAAAGCACCATGTTTTTATAGTGTTGGGCGGACACAGGCCGGTTATGCTGCGGGTGATGTTTTCTTGGGACACTTTATAGGCCCCATCCCATAGCACAATCCCTGACTGCTGTCAGGTATCTGAACATCATTGTGGACCATGTGTGCCCATTCATGGCAACTGTGTTCCCTGCTGGTGATGGCCATTACCAACAGGATAATGCACCATACCAACACTGACAGAATTGTCAAGGAGTGATTCGAGGAGCATGATGGTGAATTTCTGTTAATGTCTTGGCCTCCAAATTCACCTTACATGAACCCCGTGAATCCAAAAAGCGGGTTTGCGCTACATCACCACCACCACGCAATATACGGGAACTGGAGGACCTGCTGTTGACATTATGGTACCAGATACCAAAGGAGACTTATCGCCACCTCGTCGAATCAATGCCAAATGATAGTTATCAAGCATAGCGTTAGTTCTGGCAGGTCACGTTAGTCAAGCTCGCATCAGCTGACCTTCAGCTGATCCCCATCTACCTATGGGAATATGACATTCATATGCATTCATATATAAGGTCCCTCAGTATTATCAGCAGTTTTCGCATTGCTCAATAGCTAATTAAATGGCGAATTCG